GTGCGGGCTCTGTCCGCAATGATTTGAATCCGCGGATCACACCGACCAACCAACGGCGGACGCGCGCAGTAAATTAAAAATCCGCTCGCATTGCCCGTACACCCGCTTGCGCGAATTTCCCACGCCCTGCGTTCCAGATTCCGCCCGCCAGCTGCGCGACGCATTTTTTCCATTATCACGTCTAACATTAGGCTCGCGCTCGTGTATGTGAGACGCGTGCGAAAGACGCAACGGGCGACGAAAATAGCGCGTGTGAAGGAGGTCCGCGCGCCATGAATTACGCGACGGGCCACCGTCGGGAATTGCACCTGCGTGTTAGAGAAGTCTGATGATGCACGGTCGCGCATCGACGCGCGGGATGCGCGTGTCGAGCGAAGACGAATAAATTTACCACACGACACGCGAGCCGAAGGTATACACAGGCAGGGAAGGAATATAGATCTGGGAGCGGCGCGGTATTCACGCAAATGTGACCACGCTACCTTTTTACGGATCCTTTTATTATCATCTCTCGAGACGTTGACCTGTTTATTAGTTTAGCGCGGCCCATGAAACTCGGTCGCGAAACTTCGAAACACGCCCGAAAGACGGCGTGGTCGTTATTCGGAATTAGAAAGGAGACCTCGGTCAGATGGTGTGACAAAAAATGTCGTCAACGTCATAATCGCGTGTATATATATGTATAATCGATCGGTTGCACAACCAATTGTGCAATCAATTCGTAACTGGTAGTTTCGCATGTGTTATGTTATTCAATATCTTGTCCTAATCCCGATACATATTATTGTAAAGATAGATATTTCTGATATTTGAGAGTCGATATCAATCTCGTGAATCTTGTCCAACTTGAAAGATTAATGGGAAAACTCGAGATACAATATTGTACAGGGGCTATTATCCTATCTTGATGCTACAAATGGTTACTAATGGAAAAAGATATTGGATGGACTGCGACGCACCGGTCTTAGAGGAGATTTTAAATTTTGATTCGAAGTATTTTCTTATTCCCAGATAACTCCATCACATGTCCATTAAAATTACAAAATTCTTTTGAGATGACGATGAAATTTGGTAGACTTCGAAATATATAATATATTATTACTACCTGCATTTTCTGGCGTCTTGCATCCTAGCTTGTTAGTTCAACATCCTGAGTATTCCGTAATTCCATAATCCTACTCCATCACTGGCACTTACACTCGCGTAAACACGATTCGATCGGAAAATGTATAACGTGACGTTAACGAGAACCTGATTAAATTTTTCAAAATAGTTGATGAAATATTTTAATCATTCGACGGATATCCTAAAACAATACACACGTACTCAACGTTGCGTTGTGTAGTGCGTCAACGTGAAATTAACGATTAGAAGGATTATATGCGCAGATAAATTATTCAAATAATCGAATATTCCATAATTCTTAAATAAGTACTTTTTTGAGCAACAAAACGATAATAAGTAACAATTTGTAATGTCGAGAGACCGTATTCTTATTTAATGTTATATTTTAAGGTCTTCTTTATTGGTTTTTCAAATTCAACGGATTCATAGAATTGAAATGTAGAACGAAAATGTCGACTCGGTTATCCTCCGGATAATAATTATACACCTCACGTAAAATTATCTATCGAATAATTACTCCATAATACCGGTACAAGAGAGAACATTCAACTTCGGTATCTGCGGAAACACGCGCTTCGTGCAAGTTAATATCTGTTGTGTTTCATCAGAAATAAGTTCGGACGATGGGGGATTAAAAATACTCGGTTGAGTTACCGCCGATACCATACGAGCCGTGTGAAACCCCTATACTAAGCGAAAAGTTTCACCGAACTAATCCAACGTGCGCGCGCGAGCGTTTCATTTAGAAAGTTCCCGCATGGTTTTTAATAGCGCATTTCGTTCTTCTCTCCTTTTTCCTCTTTTCCTCTTTTAACCCCAAGAACACGTAAGCCTCGATCGAAGCTAATCCATATCGGCAGCACCTATTCGGCTGGTATAGATTAAAAAAAGATCACGCTAGAACACGATGCAACACTAGACGAACCCTCGAGGCACCTGTTGATCCTTCTCGTTAAAGTTTGAAGGAAGTGACCTGCTCTGGTCCTGCACACGCGAGTGCTAAGGTAGCGGCACTGACACACGTTGAGAAAAAGTAGCCGCGACGATGTAAGGCCGTTTCGCCGACAAATCAGATTTTTCCTGCCCATCCCGACGTGAATATACATTAACTATCAGAGAGAGATCCATATCTATGGCGGGATTATCTTTAACGCTATTTTACGAGACCCGGCCGGTGCTCGAAGCACAACCTGCGGTGTTCACAAAGCGTCGTGCGCATGTCGTGCAATGTTATCGTCTACGCGATAACATTGGACTAGATAGTTCTACGCAAAATTACTTGAGCGATGTAATTTACATACAGAGCGCCCCACAATTACCCCTCTCTCCCCTTTCCGTTCCGCTACACGCCTCTCTACTTAGATGCTGAAGAGCAAGCTGAAAATAATGGTGATTCTCGCGGTGTTGTCATAGCAGACGCGGTACGTGTGAAATACAAAGACAGAGTCCCGACAAATGACGCGCATGTAGAAGAAATTCAAGAATGCAACGAGTCAACTTAGATTCAAGTAGAATAAAGTTCAAGAAATCCACCAATTCAGACTGCCGTGTCTCACTTATGTACGAAAGCTCTTTTCAGCGGCTAGTGAACATTCCTATCGTCGCGCGTTCTCGGGGCTCTCAAATAAAAGTCAAGTGTTCCACCACAGATTTATCCCTCAAGAGAGAGAAGAACAGCCCATTTCTTCCCAGTCCGACTATTATCACTATTATTTCACTATTTAATCCAACGATCCTCCCATCGCCATCGATATCCGATGATCGATACGGACGACAGTCGAATCCTCCAACATCTCCAAGAGCACTTCCGAAAGAGTCTGGACATCGTCCAGTTACTCGGCAACGATGTATATGGGGGAAAAAAAAAGCCGTCAGTTGGCTCGATCCGGATAAACTTGATCTCGATTGACTGCGCGCGAGCGGCTGGTAACAAGTAGGTGCAACTACCTACCGGGCGGTCCGGGTGACTCGGGTTACAGTGTGATTGTCAGCTGTCCGAGCGAAAACGAAACAAAAATACCATTGGCATAGATTCGACCGTTCAGAAATAGCAACCGTCGCGAGATAGAGGAACAACCGACGCTTCCGAAGCATCGGGGGCTCGCGGGAGAGCTTGGACGCGCGGAAGAAACGAGACTTTTTCCGCCCGATATCGCGCCGAGGAAAGAAAGGAAGGAAACACGCGGATTTTACGGGCCGGTAAATTTCGCGCGAATATCCTTTGGGCCGCGCTAATATTTCCGCCGGGTGGAATTTGCTACGCTCGTTGCACGAAAATAGGATAATTACTAGACCGCTGATAGTCGCGCGCGTTTTCTGTGTGTATGTGTGTGTGTGTGTGTTATAACGCGTGCATAGCGCGTATCCACAGTACGGCATTGTCAGACGACAAATTGTTGGCAAATTCCTCGGAGCTTCTCGTCGGTAATACGACGAAATACGGGACTGAGAATGATTACATCCTACTTATTCGGAAGTTGCGGAAATTTCACAAAAGTTTTATTAAAAATTACAGAGATCTGCGGATCCATTGAGATCACAAAAATCCTCGAGATGCATCGAGAACTTGAGTTTCCAAAAAGCAAAGGGATTAAAAAGTCTGAGAGCTATGATTAGAATGAAAGAGGATTTCAGATATCTAAAGCTTGAGTTTTAAATTTTTTAATTGTAGATTTTATAGATTTCTCCGAGCGCGTTAAAATAATCATAAATCGCGGAAGGACGCGATAAAGGCGCACCGAAGGCGCATTTGCGAAATAATTCAAAATGCAAAGTGCCGAGTGTCACAAAGTTTTGCGTTAGAAAAAAAGGAAGGAAACAACGCACACGGGCGAGGGACTGCGATATCCTCGTCAAAAAGTTATAACGACATTAAAGTTCGTCGCCAGATTGCGCCGAATACTCGAACTCTCCTGCACTTCGTACATCGGCGGCCAATTCGCTAGTACTATATAAGATATATAGGATGCATAATGAACTTCATCGCATCGTAAGTGCGCCACTGTGCTATGTCTCTGCGTCGAGTTTTGAAAGTTCTGAGATGGAAATTCACGAAAACAGATTGCCAACAATTTCTCATTTGAATAGGTTCTCGAGTTTCAATGATTACACCCATATCGTTCCTCTCATTTTGCGATAAATTCTGAATGATAAGAGAAAACACTTCCAGTTTCCACACATCAGCAAATGACGTGAATATTATTGAGCCGAAGTTTTAAATAAGATCAAAAATATCAACACCGATAAAAAAAGATCGACATGCAAGAAAGAACGTATCGGTCGGAGAATAACGTTGCATCTGCCAAAGTGCAATTTTCATCGGGCGTACGAGGTTTATCATGATTCGCCCGTAGAAGAAGAAAATAGAAAGACATAAACGACACTGACCGTTGTCATTTACATCGATTCGAATGTAAGCGAGTAAATAATTGGAAAAAAGGAGAAAAGAATGTGAGGTATATATATATCGACGTGCAAAGTTCAGCAGCACATACAAACAGCAGCAATACGTTTGCGCGATCTTCGCAGCCCAATGCGCGAAACATTCGATCGCGCGCGCGACTCGTCGTTACAAGCAAGGTCGGATAAATTAACTATTTTTTTTTTAAGTTAAATTAAAAGTTACCTAAACAAAAACTAATTAAAAGTTGAATTAAAATAAAATTAACTTATTAAAGTTCACATTTAATTATGCAAAGCCGTACATATGCGTGTATAGTTTAAAAAAAGAATAGTTAGATTACGCTTACATGTATAGTTTCGCATAATTAATTTTTAACTTTAATTTAATTTATTTATTCAATTAACTTAAATTAATTTAATTTACCCAACCCTAGTTACGAGTACCGATGAAAAGAGAAAGAGGCAACGCTTACCCCAGCGTGGTCATCGTGACGATGGTGTACCAGAAGGCGGCAGGTATCGAGGTGAAGTTGGTTTCGTCGACGTTCTTCTCCGCGTAGAACATGACGGTGGCAAAGATGATGATGGCCATCGCGAGCGAGAACACGAGGAAACCCAGCTCGGAGGCGCAGGACTTGAGGGTGTAGCCCAGGATCCGCAGTCCCTGCGAGTGCCGCGAGAACTTGAAGATGCGGAACACGCGGAACACGCGCAGCGTCACGAACGCGCCCGACACGTCGTCGTTGTCGGTGATCCCGAGCCCGATGTAGTACGGCAGTATCGCGACCACGTCGATAATCGACATCACGGAGCGCGCGAACTTGCACCGGCTGGGCGCGGCGAACAGCCTCAGCAGGTACTCGGCGGTGAATATCATCACACACGCGGTGTCGAGGCAGAAGAACACGATCTTGTAGCGCTCGCCGCACGAGAGGGTGCCGGCGCGTCCCGGACGGTTACCGCACGGCACAGTCTCCACCACGTTCGCCAGCACGCTCACGGCGATGAAAAAGCCGGTCACGTAGTAGAATACCAGCGCGGCGGTGGAGATGTGCGGATTCTGGAAGGCCCGCCACATCTTCTGCCGGATGTCGAGCAGCTGCTGGAGCGTCTGGTCGCCGTTCTCGCTCAGCTTGTCGTCCATCAGCCGCTCGGCGTTCTCGCGCTTGCGGTCCCGGTAATCCTCGTAGCAACAGTCACCGATCACGTCCGGCAGGATGCCGAAGAACGCCAGCTCCTCGTCGTAGCTCGTCAGGCACTCGTGCTTCGGATAGTGCAGCTTACCGGTCCTATAATAATTGAGAATGTGCCGGAAGATGTCCGGGTCCCGGTCGAAGAAGTACTCCTTGCTCTCTTCGTCGTAGAAGAACTCGCGCTCGTTCGAGCCGAGCAACGTGTCCGGATACTTCTCCAGGGTGTTGCGCCACGTCTCGAAGCGACGGCCGCTCACGTTGATCAGCAGCTTCTCGTCGTCGGCCTTGCGCCGGTCCTTCGGGATCGGCGGCGGTGGCAGTGGGTGTGCGGCGATCGGCACCCAGCCGATCGCCGCCGCGCGGGCGAACGGCAGCCACGCTGCCACCGAGGCCATGCTTGAAGGTGGAATCTTCCTTCGGGGAGTGCGGGAGAGCCAGAGCGTCGACCGAGCCCGGAAAGCGTCGTCGGCGGCACACTTCGCTGCTCCCGCCTCGACGACCTATCGGTACGTCCGGGCTCTCCCTCTGCTCAGGCTGGACGACTTTCGGCTCTACGATGAGTCTGACATCGACGACATCCGACTCGCGCACGCAGATCGTCCGCGACAATCGGTCCCGCTGCGCCGAGAAACGGGGTCTTTCCTTCTTGACTTGCGTCAAGACTGTATCTCTTCAGCTTCTTCGCGCCGATCTCGACGTTCAGAGGAGTCTTCCACGGTGCTTCGCACCGCTCTCTCTCTCTCTCGCGGTCTGTTCGTCGATATCTAAATACCCTTTTCCGCAACAAACCGGGATTCTTGTACTCTTGACTGGCAGCAATCCAAAGATATCTTCTACAATCAGATCCAATAGAACCTTTGAACTTGAAGATTTCCTCCTCCTCCTTTTCCTATTGACGAGTGATCTACTATATGAATCTCGTTTGGACAAGCCGCTTCTCACCTCGGTTATTCTTAGGTCAGCTCAAACCGACCTTCGTTCGGTTCATGCTTCTTCAAGTCCGCCGCGATCAGTAGGTCACGACTGTTAGACTAGATCTCCCTTAAAGAATGACCACGTTGCTAATCTCTATTTTTAATTCGACTCTCCTCTTGAACTTCTAACGGCTCCTCTAGCTCGACCTTACGTCCGGGATCTACTTGCTCTACACACGTTTCTCCGGCGTCCGGTGGCCGCGCTACTTCCATCTAATTTTCTCGCTTATTTATCTACGAATCTATTTATTTACCTACTCGCCACGGCTGCTTGCCGCCGCTGCTGCTCGCGTGTACACTCAATCTCCCCGACGAGGCTCCCCTCCCGGGAAACAAATACGATATCCCCCGGAGCCCGCTGTCGTCGCTTCCGAAAATTCAGCTATCGAAACTAAGTCTCCGTTACCGAGACCCGTCGCAACCTCGCCGCATTCGCCGTCGTTGTGAGGTCACAGGCAAAAAAGAAACGTATTAACTGACCGAATGACGCTTGCTTCTCCAACGCCGCCAGGACGATGACGACGGCGACGACATCGGCGACGACAATTTGAGATCAGGCACGGTTCGCGAGTCCGTCATTTCATGCCTGGCATTGCCCCTTCTTACCATCTACCTCTCTGTCGAAGAAATGCCGAGCTCAACGAAGTGACGACCGGCACACAGCGGAACTCGAGCCGAGCGGAGACACGCGCCGGGCCAACCAATCGCGTTTTGGCAACGTGCCTTCCACCATCATCGATAGCCGCCCCGCGATAGCTCTTCGCGCCGGAGATCTTCCACCTGTTTCGGCTCGCTTGGCCGTGCAGTTTCGCCGCGAGAGCTTGAGTCCTCGCCAGCATGCGTCCACCAGGACACTACATTCTCGAGCTTGCGGGCTTCTGCCTCGGGTTCCTACGTGGACGCGAGTGGTACTCCGTTCAAAGAGGCGGCCGCCGGCAGCATCGCTCGTCGATATTGCTCGTCGATACGCGTTCCTCTATCGAGACGGGGTAAGCTTCGCTCGAGCTCGTATAACATGTAACGGAAGGTCCGTTTCCCCCCTCTCTCTCTTTCTCTGTCGCTCCCTCTCTCAACAGCAACGCGGAGCCTCGTTTCAAACGCTGAGGACGATCACGACACCCGAGACAATGAATTTAGAATTGCGAGAGGCCCGTCGCATTCGCGCGTTTGGCCTTTTGTATCATTGATCGCGGTGTGTATGTGTGTGTGTGAGTGTGATAATACGACACCTGCTCCCAAATTTCGCGCTTCGCAGCGAGTGAAGCGTTCGCACGCGCGCTTTTCGCAAAATGTTATTTAAGACACTATGTATCGAGAGACGCGAGCTTCCCTCGGAGCGTCGCTCGAACGTGAATGCCAGCTGGCTGACGATGAGAATTTCATCTATTGCTACGAAACTTGCGAGTATTATCCGCTCGCCCGCTCGTTCACTCTCCCGCGCAGTTCGGACTCCGCGGAGACCAGAATGGACCTGGCTGTTTACAGCGAATGGAGGAGGAAAAAACGCTTACGAGTAAACACCGAACAGTCAACGAAAGAAGAGCGTCCGCAGCTTCCCGGCGTGCTTTTTCAAAGCTCCGCCGTGCCTCGCGTGGAAACGAAAAGAGGCGTGTGTCATTCGCTCCGGCAGTAACGCCGTTATGATGCGAGCTAATTCTATTCACTCGTACATCGGCCACCCCGGCAGCTTTTTTAGAGCGCGCAAGCTCGCCCGGCGCCGTCTTCTGTCCTCGTGTGGTCCCGGACTCCTCTCGTCGGCTTCTTTCCTCGTGGCTCCCCTGCCAACCGCCCGAGCGTGAGCACGGAGCTGCCTCACCGAAACACGCGACCGTTTGCGCAAGCACGCGCGTTTCCGCCGCGACGCATCCAGTCTGTCAAGCTCCGCACACGCTCGTCCCTCGCGACCCGTCCTCGTCAATCGCAGAGTGACTCAAGAGAGTGCACCGAGCCGGGAGCTCGTCCACGACGGAGATGTTCCCCGAGGAGGTAGCGCGTCTCCGCAAGCTCCGGCTACTAGGAGCTCGCACGTCGATCTTCCCCCTCGCCCGTCCGCTTCGACTCTGCTCCGCACGCTTACGCGCACTACGATCCGCTCGCAAGCTCGGCCGTGTGACTCCGACTCTCGCACAGAGAGAGAGAGAGACAAAGCTTCTTCGCTGCTCCTTCCGCTGCGCGATGCGGCGCGTCGCGCGCGCGAGCGGTGCGTACGACGCGCGCGTGCTGCGTGCGCGCGCGCGCGCGCGACCGCCCTTGTGTGTACGTAACGGTTGTGTATCGCGTGTGTACGTGTGTGTGGGCACGTGTGTGTATGTGTATGTATGTGTGAGTGTGTGTGTTGTGTGTGTATGCGTGTATGTGTGAAGTGTAGGTGGATGCGTGTGCCTTTGCGCACGCGGCACCGTCGCAAGCACGGATGGAGCACCCGCTCGATGAGTTGGCCGCTCGCGACTGACGAGCTTACGAGGTTCGCGGCGGTGCGGTGGTGGCAGTCGGCCCGGCACCTCCAGAGGAGCGTGGCTCTCGCTTCTCGCCAGAGAGCAGCGGAGCAGCCGCAGCGCCGAACGCGGAGCGGTCACCTAGCCAAGGTCCAAATTGATTTTTACGGCGCGGCGGCGGTGGCGACGCGCGTCGGCGTCCCGACGCGGCGAACATTTCCCGTTGCCCGGGCAACCCCTCAACGATGACGTCACGGCTATCCCCACCGCCCCTTTACTACACTGCCACCTCACCGCCCCAACGCTGTCCTCGTATTTCCACTTTAGCCTACTTGCGCTTTGAGGAACGCTGGCTTTCAGCTTCGCCCGCTCGCTCCATTCGCGCGGTTCTCTTAATGAGAGGGAGAGGGAAAAGCGAGACAGGAGTTACCCACCGAGTCCGCTTCTCGCCTTTCACGCGAACCCTCGTATTTATCATACTGTGCGGCGGTTCCTCGTATTTTTGCATTCATTCATTCCTTCGTCCTTTGTCCTCATTGTCGGCGCTCGGGGGATGTTTTCTTCACGTGGATTCGTTCGCTCGCTCGCCGTAGTATTGCGAGCTTTCATCGTTCTCCTTGGCGCTGCTGCACCCCCTACGTCTTCGTTACGCGTGATCAATCTCCCGGTGCGAAAACCTCCTCGGTTTTCCCACTTAAGTTTCGCATTCCGCTGCTTACATATTTTAATGTAAAGCTAGTCCAGCTTATTCTTTGATTTACTCTCTCTCTCTCTCTCTCTCTCTCTCTCTCGCGTAATCTGTTGTGCACCGACGAGTAATCGAGCTTGCTTCGGTTAAACGGACTTATTCCGATTTAAGTCCGCTCACCAATTAACTAACTTTAATTCTCTTACGTTACATTATCGCTGGGATCTCGGGGAAAAAAGAAGAGAAAGAAGAAGCGGCTACCGTCTGGATAATTCTGTCTCCGACGGTTGGCCGAGAGGTGAAGAAATCAGCCGGTGTCCCGACTGCTTGACCCACATAACGAAAATGGTAAATAAAGTAAGAAAACGCGGCGTTCTCCTTTGCTTCTTCGACCGGCTTCGTCTCCTGCTCGATAACGCCCCTGGGCGACTATCCAGCTAAATCCAGCCCTATTACCTCCTTGTCTCCGTTCATCTCTCGTTCCGTCTCCTAACGACGAACAATGCTTTTCCATTCTATCCTCTCTTTCCGCCACTTACTCTATTCTCTGTACTCCCTCTTACTCAATCTATCCGCGCGTGCTCGCGTGTCCGCGCGTTATCCGCCGGGCGCAGCCTCGCAGTCCTCTTCGGGTGGTTCTTTCCGTTCAACTTTCTCGTATTTTTGCCGTACTTACTGCTTCCATCAGCAGTATCAATCACCATACTTTCACCCGCTCATCCCGGCTTGCGCCTCGTATTCTCACCTCGCACTGTAATTTCGGGTCGTTTATCTCGCCTCTTCTGTTTCTACCTGTCCCTTGCTTTATCTTCTCTTTCAATCGGGCGCTCTATCGATCTTTCCTCCATAGTTCTGCTCGCCTCCTCCTCCGTCCTCCGATGCCTCATCCTTCCAACGTGTTGTGAATCTTAATCTGATTCTATTTTTCATATCTCATTTTTCCTTCCATTCAGGAGAACTTAAGACCGCATTGCTCGCAAAATTTCGCGGTTCACCAATGTATCACCGTAAGTGAATATTTGACACTTGAATCCACGATATTCAGTGTACCACCCTCTACATTTCCATATGCTTATTTGATTAAAGTATCACATTTTAGAAAGAACGACTGCTCTCGATTTCCCGTCGTTTTCCCATTTTATACTCTGTTACATCTCTCATTTCCCGCTCGTTACCGTCGAGCCCATCTCTGCGGATCGCGATCTCCTTCCATGTTCTCTTGCGCTGTTTCATCTGGCAAACGCGCCGGCTTTATCCAAGAAATAATAGGTCCTCTTCCCATCTTTCCTTTCCTCTCTTTTTTTCCTTCACACCACTCTTCGCTCCTCTTCAGCTTCATTATCACGGGTCTCGCACGTTTCCTTTGCGCACCAACTAAGTGTTACGTTATTCTTCAACTTCCCGTTACGCGAGACAAACGTTTCATTTAAAGCTCTCGTTCATCCATCTTCAACGTAACGACGTGGCTTTGCATTTCTCTTTCCTGTTATCTAACCGGTCTAATAGCGACGTCTCGTCGAGGCGAATTAACAGTACAGTGAATTTTCATTCGTCACCACAATTCGCTTCACGATTCCGCACGATTTTTAGAAGACTACGATTTGAAAGTAAACTCGCAATTCAACGGTTTATATAATAGATCAAGATATAAGAAGGTAATTAACCTGAGTAGAGAGAAAGAAGGAGGGGGGGGGAGTAAAGGGGAGCGGAAAAGATACAAGAAGGACGTGTGAAATTCTCGACTCTAATGAACGTGCGAAAGAGTGCAACTTGAAGACAAGAGCATGCACCCTCCGGCTGGGGCCGGTAACTTCTCCGTAAGACGTCCCTTTTGCGGAAAATTCTTGGACTGTAAATATACGTACGTATGTACGTATTGCGCGTCTGTGTCAAGCGCAATGATTTTTGCTACGGTAATTTATCGCCGTGGAAAAAACATCCTGAAATATCGTGGAATGAATGAAGAAGTGGATTACGAGTGGCAAATAAACTGCAAGTTCGAACAAAGTGGCGGAAGTAGCAATGCAAGTCGCAACATGGCCTTCTTCCGCCGGATTTTACAAGTACAACTCCTCGAATCCGCAATGAACGTAAAGTATTTTTCCGGGATATTTTCCCCTCAAACGAGGGGTCCGCGCCTCTTCCTCGTATTTTTCTGGCTTTCTCTTTCTCCCCTTTCACGCGGAACTTTTCAATTAACGCCGCGTTTCCGTTTGTAATCAGGCAACGCTTTTTTTTCTCGTCCGGAGGTTTTTGCGATCGTTATTGCGGTGAAAAAAAAAAGAACTCGCGGCATTGTGCCGATTGCATGGGTGTTATTGCACCGTTTATTAAAATGGCTGCGCTTTAAACTGGTTGTCATGTCGACGATAAATAGAGAAAAAGATGGCTGGACATTATTATATTAAATTGGAACATAAAATGTGTTCGTATTATATATTAAAAATATGCAACTTGCATTCATTTATTACTGAATTATTTATTAATTAACGGGACACTTTTTTACATCGGGTTGTCAAGTACAATAATAATTTAAAAATCTTGCTGAAAAATTATGAATGCATACATGATGACTTATTCATATTGAGACATATTCATTGAAAGATTATTGATACACACACACACCTAGGCATATACAAAGCTTTATTATATAGAAAAACCCATTTTCATCTTGCCTTTATAGCAAATGTATACCATATAATATGATATACTCTTAAATTTATTCACGTACGAAATAAATTCTTCTGTACGAAATAATACATAGATGTGCTTTCACAATGAGATATTCCCACGATGCTTTCCGCAAAGTTTCGAAAAACAAAGTTGCTGTAGTAAGAAAGAAATCGTTTGTTTTCACAGCTTGCAAACTCAGAATCCTTGATCCCCAAAGATCAACAGAAATTAAGGACGCGGAATTATCCGGCTAGGAACAAGGCCAAGCTTCTACCGGGACTGAGAGATGCCCAGTAATCGCACTGAGCCGACTACTAAGCTCTTCGTTAAAATCTCTAGTCTTTCCTACTTTTTTCTAATCCACCATATTACAGGTATAGATGAAAAATCTTAGAAGAAGCAATACCTTAAGTAAAATGGATTAATAGCAAATGTACTAGACGCGATGCACGGAGCAAAACATTTTTCATCAAAGATTTTATTTCTCTAAATGTAATGTAGTCAATTAATAAATTCTCTAAAGCTTTTGATAAATAATATATTTCTATGTAATATATACACGTATGCAAGATGTTAAAAAACATAGCATACGAGTATATCTACACAAAAAAGCAAGGGACACAACACACACATAAAATCAGCTGAACTGTAAAATTCGATGTCAGCTGAGCCGCAAAGATCAATAACAGATCGGTGTTAGGAGTGCTTGCGCAGTTACAGATTTGAGAGCGTGAAATCTACGTGATATCGCTAGCCAACTTGCTCGCTTATAACTCGGAAACTATTGTGACCTCGATATTTTCCTCTTAGTTTCGACTGTGATTAAGATTCAAAATACGTTATTGAAATATCGCGCCATAATTTTGAAACCTCGCACACATGTACATTTGTACTTTTGACACGCAATATTAACTTTTCCGGTAAATCGTTAGTTATAAGATACCAGACAAAGAATGAGTTAAAACAGGAAGATTGCGTGTGCCGCAAGTTCTGCACAGAGAAAAAAGTTTCTTTAGATTTAGCATTTCTATTTATTTGACGAAAATTTGTTTCATAGAAATGACATGTACATATACGAAATATTATTTGTTTGAGTGACAATATTATTGTCTCACTCAAGAAAATTCTATTATTTAACAGGAAGAACGCTATTATTTGAAATAATATTTTTTAACCAAATAAAATATTATTTCGTTACAATAAATATGTAAAATAAAACAAATAATTTCTTTGTAAGAAAATTATCTTTCGTTCAACGTACATATTGAAAGGTCTAACAATCGTACTTATTAATTGAAACATTAGTTTCTTTGGTGCGTGCCAGTGATGAAATTTGTTTGGATGCAATCAAATCTATGAAATTTGAAGAAATCTTTCTCTCAGTGTACGAGCGATGTGCAACACAAGAATAGGCGTTTCAAGAAAATTATATTCGCGAGTGGTGAAGGCGCGTACAAAAATGTCGAAGGTATCGAGAAAGGCGTATCGTCCCTCTGAAAATCACCGTGTTTTTTGAGGCAATTCTACATGTCCGTCCCGATAAAATTCCGCGGCGTAGCTTCCCCAAGAGTTTCGTGTCCCATCAAAAGTTGTATCGCCGCCTCCCCGCGGTGCCGTTTGACTTTGTCGAAAGTTGCAGTCTCGTATAACGAACGAGATAGTTCTTCTTCGGGAACTTACGTCGACGCGCGGCGCGAGCGCTCGCAACTACGCGATTCACGAGTGTTCACGGATTCCTTATCAGATCGAAACCGTTTGTAGAAGTGGAATAATACAAGGAAGAGGAATAACTCCTCTCGTTAATCATGCCTTACAGAACTCGCAGATGTTAATCAAACAGCTTAGAGGAGTAAAATCGCGTGATCCACACGCGTCGACTGAGAGACGACTTTAGAGAATGTTTAAAAGAACTATTTCCCATTGCTGAATTATTATCGTTATTATTAAATTTGAAAAGTTTGAAACTCTCAGGAAGATGAAAATATTTCGTATCTCTAGATATATGAATGCGTAAAGAAATATAACGCATTTGAATTTCCACAAGATGAAGAAGCTGACCTTACGTAGCTTCACTTTCGGGAGACTTAATTAAAGAGACGTTATAGAACTCCCGGATTTAAATTACAGATCAGGAGAGGTGCCGGGGGTTATACTAATTCTGTCATTCGGATGCAAGTTCAAATAAGTTCCACGTTGTACCATTTAATTTGGATATACGTGGGGAGAGATACGGAGAGATATTATATTACTATTACAGTATAAACAATGAGTTACGCAAACGAATCGAATTATAGTGAGTTTGCTCGCTAAATACCGCTCCGCCGAGCTGCTTACACTGGGCGGTTGTTGCAAAAAGAGGAATGAAAGATCCCATTCCCTCGAATCTCAATCCCGGAGCGCACGAATTCGTACGATTGAAAGTTACACATAATTCTTCCAAATGCGCAACCGCGACAAACCGAGCCTCGTGTGTGAATAAATAAGTCCGCTTGGGGGAGCATTTTATTGCAATAACGCGAAAAAACGCGTCGCCGCATCGAAAATCGATAGAACGCGCCGCGCTGTAATGGCGATATTATAATGCGAATTGTATTTTGACCGAAATGCATTACACGATACGACGCGCCGATGTCGAGTTAGGGGGCTAAACGGCTCGATAAAATCTCGCGACGAGCAATTTGCGGAGCCGGCGAGTGCGCTTTTAGAGGCCCCGGTGGCCGATAAAGCCGCGCGATNACCCACCCATCCCCTTCGCCCCTCCGTGCTTCGTACTATAATTCACCTCGCAACCTAACCCGCCGCTTAAAACTGAAAAATACCTGTGTCGAAAGTCGTCGTCGTCGGCCGGGGCGGCGGCGGCTTCGTTAATCCAGCCGAGATTAAAATCGGGCGATCCCTTTCGCGTCCTCCGCCATCTCGCACCGTACCCTTCGCACATTTTTTTCTCATTCTGCAAACGCCCGGATATCCCTCGAGACACGGGGAGGGCAGCGCGATCATTTCAGCTTCGGACCGTCGAAAAATTGATTTAAAACAGATATTATTAGGTCGCTCGTTCGAGGCTCGCCGCGATAAGCGGTGATTTACATGACGGAAACATTTGCGCAACTTAAGTGGGTAGAAGCTCTAACGAAAGGGACGAGCTTTTCGAGTCAATGAAAAACGGATAAGTGATAGATGAGCAAAGGGGGATGATTTATACCGCCGTGGAAAATATCGTCAAAATATAGATTTTTTATTTTGAACTTTTATTTTACTTTTGTGTGTTCCTGGCATATTTGCTTTTCCTTTCTCTTTGCTATGCATTTTTGCGAATGAAAGGACGATCACTCTTACGAAATATTCAGAATATTACAGTATACAGAATATTTATAGAGTAGTTTACATCTCACGTCAGACACATTTCTACGTTGAATTCAACTTAATCCTTCCCAGACAGCACAAAACCTCTAATCGAGATATAAGAATAATGTCAAGGGGTTAAGACGTCTTTAAGACATCTTAACCCCTTGATATACAATAACGTCGAGGAGACATCATTCATTTCATGTGCCATTGTAGACTTTGACGTCTCCGAGACGTCAAGAACTGTCTCCGGCGGACGCTGTGCAATATATTATTAAATTATTAAATTGTTTCACTTGTGCGTCGATTTTGTTTTATTTAGAATGTTCGAGATGCTCCCCCCTTTTAAACAGTACCAATAACAAAATCACATCGGCAAACCAGTAAATCAGAAAGAAGTACATTGAAAGCAGTATTCGGTATAGCAGTGATCTCGCACGGCGAATGCCATACTATATATTTGAATTTAATAAAAATTAGAAATAACCCTTGTAACATGTCTGAGTTTAATGTATTATATGAAAGTGACGATTGACAGTGTGAAAAATGTCTAGTTCCTCTACATGTTCCAAAATGTTTTGAAATATTTCATACTTTAAAGAACTACTAAATTATTATTTTATAATGTTACTTAATTATTGTCCATTAACATTATATATCAACCTAATTAAATGTTATATAGCGATGCAAATTTCAAAATAAAAAGTTGTTTCTAAGTTTGCACATAACTGTTCATTGAGCAAAACTAAATAATATTTTTCAGACGCATCAAATTCCGTTTTATTTGTATGTCAAGGGGTTAAAGACATCTTATAAACATCTTAAAGACAACTTTAAGATGTCTTAAAGAAATCATCTTATGTCCGGATTTTAGATTTTGTGCTGTCTGAGTCGCATCTAATGATTATGTGATGAAATAATTCCAGAGCGTGTGTGAAATCGATCATCGTAAACGTCAGGCAACGCGAACAGCTTTCAATGACGCCGTAAAAATGGCTGAATAACCTAAATTCGTCTCTTTTCAGATGTGAACTTTTATATTGTGTATTTGCTCGTATCGTTTTATAATAATAATGTGTTATATCAATAGAATACATAAATCTGCAGTACTCACTTTAAAATGCCTTGAGTACTCATTTTAAAATGCCTCGAGATCCAACAATCTGTAATATGCTTTCACGCTTCGATAACTACACTTTTTGCCCGAACACCGAAGAACGCCAAGGAGCATTACGTACCTAAATAAAGACTCATGTCTATTAATGAGAAGATAATCGAAGAGCATTGATGCTATGTACTGTTTCGACTATCCGATATGTATACCTGGACGATTGTGTAGCATCACACACGATGTTGCGATCCATTACTACAAATATTCACAGCCATGCAAATTCCCATTGGCCCATATCGGTCTTTAGCGAAACTGTCGGCATCGAAGAACGCCATTAAGGAGCATTACGTATCTGGATAAAGATTCATGTCCATTAATAAGGAGATAATCGACAAGCACTGACGCTATACTATTGTACTGTTTCAACTATCCGATATGTATACCTGGACGATTGTGTAGCATCACATATGATATGGCGATCCATTATTACAAATATTCGTAGCCACGTAATTCCTATTATCCCGTCTCCGTCCTTAGTGAAACTGCCAGCATAAACGTAACGTACGCAGCGGAACTTAAGCAATCGACCAATCACAATCAAGCATTACAATATTTTGAAATGCTTGATTGTGATTGATCGATTCGCCTTGCTGCTTTATATATGTAGCGTCGTCTTTAGTATGAGGTGCCCTCTATTTTCATAGTCAAACTACAATATGGATCTCCGCTTGAATTTGAGTCACTCGTGTTATCGATAGTGGATTACAGTTACATTAGCGGCTATTGATAAACTGATATAATACGCAAATAATTATTCTAATTAATATAATGTGTCGAACCCGTACTTCTTTGTGTATTTGTGAGACATAACCAAAATAATTCGCACATATGTCGTTCATATGCTTTGTTAAGCAGATCGTCAGTAATCGACGATTGGTCATGTCGTCGCTCTTCAATTATCCGAGCTTTCACTTTACAGACGCTCCGATGAATATCTTTAATAAAGCCATCAATGCACGCAATTATATTGCATTTTATACAATGTTAATTCACAAAGCGTCGCGTTTTAAATTGACTTTCTGCTCTCAACTACACTTTCATGCACTTTCCGAGCCCAAAGCGAAACGAGTGCAAGTGTCACGGGGAGCAGCTATGGGAGGAGCAAAAGAAGCGTAAAAAGTTCGTCTAAAAATAACGACATCTCTTCTAACATATTTCACATATAGTTAACAAACGCTGTCGCTCGTGAGGATCTCGCGTGTCTCAAAGGAAAATCTAGGTTATCGGAACTCTCCCCAAAGTTTATATTGACTATCGCCCTTCCGCTGGCCGGCGCACTTTAATACACTCCGTGTAGGTGATTTTGATAGATCAACGTGCCGCAAATTGCAAAATAAGAACGGAATTACAGAATGAAGTACGGAAGAGAATTGTAGTCCATTTTTAAAATTAGATTCGCTCGTCGTTCGCGGTGATCAAGCAATTCCGACGGCGCCGCCGAAGGAAATATCGCGACTCTCGATTGGTCGCGTCCGGGATCGATAAAGTCAAGTCTATCGTTGAGCGCAGGTTTGCGTCGCGTGCGATTTCGTTGTCTACGTGCCTGACCACCGTCGAGATGTCAGCGACGATGACAGCCAAGCTTCAGGATGACATGAACAGTATACCACTGGCTGACGACGATCCCCAAGGTAAGAATTTTGGCGTTATTGCACTTCATGACGTTCCCCAGCGGCTACTCCTTGCTTATCCCATACTCATTAATGAATCATAACCTACTTCATGCATGAGCCAAGACCCGATTCTCAACTGAGTTTAGTTCACTTCATTGACTTCGTGCTTTGTGTGATTGTTATTCTCATTTGCCTTTGCTGATATTAGCATCAAATTAGGATTCAAATATGTAATCCGTATTCAATACTGAATATGCAAAGTGATATGCACTCTGATTGTTGCTAAAGCTTTATTTAACGCAACGAGAGAGGAAGGAGAGCTACCAATTAGACCTTTGATTGACTTCTTCCGTAATTTATTTTGCTCGGGGCATTTCTTGGTTAATATTTCTTCATATTCCGTGTATCCTGTATTTTGTGTATCTGGGTTTTCGAACTCTTACGCTTTTATTCCTTTTCTCGCGAAATAACATCTGGCTGGGGGTTATTTCTCGTACGTTTTTGACAGTGATTATACCAGAAGAAGAAATTCTGGATAATGCCTCGCATATATCAGATGCATTAGGCAGAGGACGTAGCATGGATTCTATTCCATCGACATTTACTAACGGGAGCTGTAGTCCAAACAGTAAGTGACTGTATTGGTGTTAATTTTATCATATGATGTTAGATGCATGGCTTTTATATTGCGTACTTCCCAAAATGAGTAAACAAAATAACATTGCATTCGTTTGTAAATTAAAGAAAATAATATTAGGTAAATCATACCTTGGTTTCTACCTCCAAATCTTTTCTAATGATTTCATATATTCAACTAAACAGTTGTAGCAATTTCAATGTAGTGTGATAAATATTGTGAGGAAATCATAGTTATAAGAAAAATCAGGATAATATATAAAAGTACTTACTAATCACAGGTTTAGATCCAGATATTAGTCCGGACGAGCAAGAGGAGAAAGCTAGACTGATTGCGCAGGTTCTTGAATTGCAAAATACTTTAGATGGTATGTATAGATTTAAAATAAAACAATTGACATAACAAAAGAAGATACATATTGGCAATTTTCTGAAATGTAAATATCTGTCTTGTTTAGATCTGTCACAGAGAGTGGATAGTGTAAAGGAGGAGAATCTCAAACTGAGGAGCGAGAACCAGGTTCTGAGCCAGTACATTGAGAACTTAATGTCAGCATCCAGCGTGTTTCAGTCGACAAGTCCTAACACTAAGAAGAAGTGAAATATTGAAATAATTAAATAATTTAGAAAAATTGTAAACAAGCTACGGTGATCTTAAAATAATTGCGATTGTTTCGACTGTTTTGGAAAGTATGTGCGAGCGCTTGATTACAAGATTTTAGTTCAGCAAAAGATACTGCGACATTTTTAAAAGTATCGTTCGATATATTGTGCTTAATTCGCTTTCGTTAGCTTGTACATATTTTTTATGAGGGGAAAGAAGTATCTCTTATGAAACAATCTACCTTTTCTCAGTCGAGTAATCAAAATATTCGTTTTTATAGTTAAGACTATTTATATAACGCATCCATCGTGATTGTGACTTAAAAACACGCTTGGAACGCTTATAATTATTATGCACCCTGAAAGAGACCCGTTTTACATTTTTACATTTTTTACAAAATATAAATACCTAGCAAATTTTTTAAGAAACATTGCTAAGTAGAATTTATTAATATGTTCGTATATATGAAGCAATTTAATTAATTATAATTAATTTTTTTATTAGGATTAGATTAATTCTTATAAGAAAAAACATATATTTAGTAATATTGATAATATATTTGTTATCGTCCTTCCGTCTGTTGAAAATAATAACGATTTATTTACCTTGAATATTTTTTTATATTAAATAGTAGTGATGTCAAGTAAAAGAAAGAATGTGAGAATCTCTAAATAATTTGATAATATTATATTCTTTATTAATTGTCTAACATATGTCGGTAGCTTTAATTATTTGATTTTTGCGACCGTACGTGGATAAATCACTCAATTTTCTTGGATGATTTATTTTTCGCATTAATATGAATTCCCGAAATTTGTCCGAAATGCACATTTCACATTCGCAAAGCAAAGCTAAATATTAAAACATACTTGGAGTCATACTTCTCGCGTCGGAGAGTGTTCTCTTTTTTCATACAAAACTCTTGCTTGAAAATTTCGACGTATTTATATATATACGCATTGTATGTAGATGTACAAAAGAGATAACGGATAATTATATACAATTATAATATGCTATAATTATAATAATATATTATGACAAATTGATATTCGCGTATATGCTACAAGCAAGATGGCTAGTTTTTGCTGTTTACGACGGGACGACTTTCAAGTTGAATAAATTACAAGTTATGCAATCATCTTGCTTGTAAGCATAATGATTCGGCGATTGATATATGTTAACAAATATATATTTACTGCAAAATGAGAGAAACTGCGACTTGCGATAGAGTTTCAGTTCGAGGGCACAAGCAGAATGCACAATCCCAAATTATCCCATTGTTGAGTGACACAGTGTTATAATAAACATTATATTCTATTGGAACGTGTTACGTTGGTTGGTCATTTTTCTCGATTTCTCGTATGAATGAATTCCTTATTTCTTATCGATCGGCGTAATCTCTCCGCCCGCATAGAACTCTCATTCATCACTGTCTCGTTCTGAACTTCTTTCCGGGAAGTTTGACGGACTGTGTAACGATCGAAACACGCGTCGTCCTCGAGGATAAAAAGTATGTCTCATGAAACATGCCGGCGCACGTTCTTGAACTTTGCTTATTCAATTGATCAATCCTCTTGGATAGCTGAGAATTGTATCGCTTTTTGTCCCCAGGATGTTTTCGGCCCTGGCTTCGCGCGTCCGTTCTTCTTTATCCCTATCCACCATCCGTAATGTACGTATTTGCGCGATCGAAACGCGTCGAAGGAGCCGATGCTCCACTGTTCCCACTCGGTATTGTCGTTGGTCATATTTATCTGAAGTCAAAATCAATAAAAACTTGTGCGATAGGTCTCAGCGATCTCCTTTAAATTACGACTCGTGAAAGATATATTTTCGTCAATTTATGCTAATTTCTATTTTTTTTTTCGTTAAAAATTAAGTAGAATTAGACTCGGCAAAATTGTCGTGAGAACGGCAATTTGAGTGAAGTCGTTGTGGAAAATTTGCAGTACCGAGTAGAAGATTTCACGAAGCGCTATAGAGGTGAGTTGCTGAAATCGTACTACTTAAGGTTTAATATACCGTGTTTATATCATATAGAAAATAGAATGTAATTCGTTCAAGCTTTGTTGATGTTCTACATTGCTCATTTACTTCAGTGGATCACGTTTATATTCAATAATTACAGAAAAAGTGATGAAATAAGACTTAAATGACTAGTATGAATTAGGCAAATCTCCCCTTAGAACATTAGGCTGTTATCTCATATTTTTGACGTATCGATATAAAATATCGACATTTTTTACTGTATCGTCTATTTCTAGTGGCAAGAGCCTCTTTTTATAACCGTAAAGTAAGAAAATTCCTCGGAAGACAATGTCTGCTTTTTTCTTCATTTTAACGACTAATGTAATACTTTCCTGTGCGTAACGATCGAAACGATTTCTTACCTCTCCGTATAATCGACCTTTCTTGTTGAATGCCAGATACAACCTCGTTTCGACGCTTTGTATTCTGATAACGCCGAAAGATACCGGCGTCACGTGAAGCAAAGCTACAAAATAATAGCTCTTTTAATAACAATTTACGATGTTGATAATAATAATAACGATAACCATTACAATAGTAATAAAACATAATTATCTCTCACATATTCCGGAAGATTAACATCAGAATGTTGCAATCGTCATTATTCTGATTAATATTTCATAAGAGGTCAAGAGAGGGGGGGAAATACCGTGCGACTCATTGTTGCCGTATAATCCACGCACTCGTCCCGACGGTGTTATTGCCAGATGATACCCGGTCCGACAATACAGTTTTATTGCATAGCAATTGTAGGCAGGATTTTTCGCCGGCTGCCGAGGGTCCCATATCACGTACGGTGAATACTTGCGTGATTTAACGTCGTCGTTACGCGGCGTCCTGTAATTGCAATCGGACAGCCCATAAGGTTATTTACGTGAGTTTCACACAGTTACATAATATGGAAGAAGAGAATACAGTTACGTAATATGGAAGAAGAGAAAAGGGGGAATCTATTTGTTTCTAATCTCGTCGGAATTAAATTAACAGATAGAAAGTGTAATCAACACAGATCTCTCGATATAACGTTTGTACAACTCTGATTTCTTTTCTAGAGAATATATTCGACAATGTAATATACGAGATATATTTGTTATATTTTATTTCTTATTTTTCACTGCTCGGACTTTTAAGCGTAATGTATTTCTAAAGCGGTTGGCTATTAGGGTTGCACCTTTCCCGCAGCCGTGAGGGATGTGCGCGCCGTTATAGACGTTGGAAAATATATAGGTCGGCCGGTTTTCCAGGTCAGCAAGCCCCGTGAATGAAGCGCACCACGCCATACCACGTACAGGCGCTCTCGCACTTCGTTAATTTTAAACCGATTCTCGGGGGGAGGAAACGAAATGTCAATAGGCTTTGTGCGAGAACTACGCGAATGGCCGCCGACGAGAAAGTGCACGTTAACGCGGTTAATTTTACATGGCTTCGTGTACAAGGTATGCCCAATGACCTCCTGCAAACAACATTTACATTCGTTGCGCGCAGGTGTAAACGTGTAGAAGTAGTAAACATATTACGTCCGGACGAAATGATGTTGTTGATCATGTCGAGTCGTAATTTGTGTTTAATGCGTATGAATGATTGTTCTCTTTTCTTTAGAAAAACGAAGCACTCGTCGCTTCAAAACTCAAAGGTGATGACTTAATCAAGTTAAATGAATCAGTTAATTTTTACTCCACGTCCGCCGCTCTGACTTGATTGATTCGAAATGAGTTAAAAATGTCTTTCCGTATATAAAGAAAAAGATTTCTTTGGGTTTAATAAAATTTCCTTAAACGAAACTAATTTGTTTCCGTATAGGGCAAACGAACGAATGAGGATTATTTGGTTTTTTTAAACAATAAACGTCTTTACGTCAAATAATATGTTTCTTTTGTATTTTCATTCATACTTTACAATGGTTGTCACAAGCAACAAATTATTTGAAAGAAATAATGTTATGTTAGAAAAATGTTACAGAACTTCTTTATTTTCAATGGAACAATACTTAATATATAATGAAATAAATGTTTTTTTTTTATTGGAAATGAAATATTATTTCTTCTAAATAATACTGTTTTTTCAAACAACATAGTTTATTTTAATGAAACAACATTTTCATTTAATCAAAATGACATTTGATATTATGTTGTTTATATTAAACAAACCCAAGCCAAACAAATACATTTACTAAATTTAAAGAAACCTTCTTCTCTACGTAGGAACGTATTTATCCCAAAGATGCTACTCCGACTACTCTCTCGTGTTTTCCAAGATACCTTAGCAAGAAAGTAGCATTATCTGCCATTACAGTATATTCTTAGCATCCACTTACTTCCTATTCCATTCCTGCTGCGGTATCTGCGCGTTTTACGAGATAATTTTAAAACCGCCCAACGAGTGCGTCTAAAAAGATAATCGAAGAGCGAGGGAATTTCTCGCGAGTTTTATCGCAATTATCGCTTATCAGTTATTTCCTCGAATATATGTAAACCTGCCACGGAGAATATTCTCCTCCCGATTGTACGAAAATTCTCTTCACAACGGGGGTAAAAGTAGCTCCGCTTTATTTCCGCGGATAGGACGGGACTTTCGAACATTTCCACCGAACGGCGCAAATTGCATCTCGGCGAATCCGTCGGAACGTCAATCATAATTTCGTATAACGCGTCACGCAGCGGGGAAATGTTGCGCAATTCGCGGGAAATTATGGTCGCGACACCGTGCGTACGGCACCGCGCTCGTTTGATATACCGTTATTAACGCAAACTACACCTAGCGCATCTGCTGACCCTGCGGCGATATGGAGCAGAAAGTTAATCGAGTCAAGTGATCAATGAATGTACATTAGAACGTGTGTTGGAGGGCGACAAGGTAGACAAACGTGTTCTCCCCATATATCCAGTGACGGCCGAACGTTTTACCTTGTTCCAGTAATTATGCTAATTCATCCATTTACGCGAATTACGCATTCATCGTTCCACCGGAAGACTCGTAGCGCTGGAAAATGCGAGCAAAATGCATCCGAGTTAAATGCCGTCGTTTCCACCCGCGAGGCGCGGCCAGCAATTTCGTCTGTTTCACATTAAGGTATTTCTTTATTTCAAATACATACGGTAAGCGCAAAACCCGTCCGAAGAAGAAATCACAGTAATCGCGCGATTTGGCGTGATCGGCACCGCGTTGTACTTGCGATTTAACCGCGAGTTCTCAAATACAACCGTACCCGTTCTCGTCGAAGGTAACGGTCGTGGTCGGTGGTCTTTTCGTTTCCCTCTTCTTCTTCTTCTTCTTCCGATTGCCCTGAGCGCTTTCTTTGCCGTTTTCCGCCACCGCCTCGTCGTTCTCGTGAAGGGACAGATCCGTGTCGTAGCTGTCGTCGCTGCAGCTATCGTCGATATCGCTGCAC